GGATATTACTGGATTTCGAATTGGCTCGAAATAAATTCATCTCGATTAATCGAGTGGGTTTCATTAAGCCTTTCACTTTATGTATTATTTCATATATATTACAAACCAACGATTTATAAGCACTAGTGTTTCAATGGTAGAATACTCGTCTTCCAAGCGAGAGACTCGGGTTCGATTCTCGGCTGGTGCAATTTTTATTTTTTGTAATTATGTAATTTCACCATAAGAGTGCAAATGCAAAACTCTTCTCACGGAGATTATGTCAATTTTTTTCGTTCTGTTTCGTTGTGGCGGTTGTTGAAACGACTGAATACACAGAAGCAATACAATGAACAATCTGCGTCTTAGAAAAATAATTCAATAGGCACTGATATAAAATTCTTCAAAATCTTGTCAGTAATGAACCATTTAAATTTTGTTCTCCGATAAGTTCATATGTTCATGGAAGGAGTGATAAAATCATTTGAAATGTTTCAATTATTCCTGCTGCAAACATTTTTCATATAATTTTATTCATTATTAATACGACCAATAACTATATTCATCCTATTCGTTCTGCATTATCCAGATCAGCTAATTTCAGCATAGATTCATGGAAGATTAAGCACTATATCAGCCGCTGCCTGTCTGACAATCTGGTGCTGGTAAATCTGCGCTCGTGATGTATTGTTGTAGGTACAATATGCGTGAATAACGGTTAGCAGTGGTGGTTCAGTGGTAGAATGCTCGCCTACCACGCAGACGATCGGATCCAGTTTTTAACTAGTGCATTTCTTTTAAATTACAAAGTTTCTCCTAGAGACGGACAGATATAAAAAGCCTAGACATCGTGTCTGCTTTTCTGTTTCTTTTTCTTGTTTTCATAGTGGCACAGTTCTATGCTATTTAAAAAACAAAAGTAATTGGTTGCATCATTCTCTCTCTTTCATTCAATAGATTTCAAGTAGGAATATTTGTTTTTGTTTTTCACAATAATTATCATCTGCATAGCTATCAAATATTTTTTCAGCATTTTGTTTAACTCTGAAGCGAATGATTGATATATTTTTGGAATTCTATTGACTATTGACTGAGTGATGTTTTTGATATTAGTCTATTCAGAAATAGGCTAGAAATCAATTAGTTTCGTTTCATTGATTTGGTTTTCATAAGTCTACCCACTTGATGTATATTTGTAGATATAATAAGAGTAAGTGAACTATAAGCACTAGTGTTTCAATGGTAGAATACTCGCTCTCCAAGCGAGAGACCCGCGGTTCGAATCCCGGCTGGTGCAATTTGATTTTTTTAATTATGCAATCTCTTAGCATGATTGCGTATTGAAAAGCTCTACATATGGTTATTTATACTCTTTTTTATTGATTGTTTTATGGTGATGTGCGTCAGGAGCATAAGCAGCACTTTTAGAAAATGGAAAAACCTTTCTTGTGTCGAAAAAAAATGATGGGCAAAATGGGCAAGATTTTTATTGAGAGGGCAAAACGTATTGGCCGCGCAAACTACTAATAATGTAGCAAAACCAAAAAGAACAAAAATGAAAATGAGATTGTTCTATTCACAGAAAAGAAAAAGAAATGAAATTCTATTGGTACAAAAAAATGAAGTAAAAGTCGCTTAGTCATATATACATCAATCTCAGAATTTATGCGTGAGTCAGGTATCTTGGGTGTAGGTGTGTGGGTGTGGGTGTGGGGTGTGTGTGGATGCGACAAAACAGAGAATGTCCACACACCCACACCCACACCTACCCATACCCACGCCCACACCTCACATCCACACCCACACTCCACACTCACACCCTACACCCACACCACCCACACCCACACCACCCACACCCACACCACCCACACCCCACACCCACACCGACATCCACAACCACACCACCCACACCCCACACCCACACCCACCATTTTCTCTATCGTTGTATTTGGTACAACGTCACCAAAGAAGCGCAGTTGATTGATATGGTCGTTTGAATATTTTATGATCCAAGGCTTTTACTAACCAGTCGTGTATGGACTGTGACTATCGTACAGGATTGAAGACGTCTTTGTCTCGTAACCGAATTTCTGTATATCTGTCATGTAACTGTGATCTATGATGCCTATATCTTCTGTTTTCATGCAGTGCTGAAGTCTTTGGACATTTCTATATAATAAAGCTTTTATAATCTCTGAATTGATATTCTTTCCTTTTGCAAACAGTAGATCCAAGACTCCTATTATGCAGTCATCAGACGATACTACCATTATCGATCTACCAAGCGGCTTTCATCTATGGAAGCTACACGTTCTACTTTGTAGCATATTAGTGTGACTCTTTAGAACGTAAATATACGTCCCATCAAAATCTATTCTCATTATATATCCAAAACTTAAATGTTCGAATACAAAATACTGTATTAGTGCAGAATAAATACTATCTAAAATTGGATTGATTTTTATTATCTTTGCTAAGTCAAAGTGTATACATAACATTTGATGACTCAAACCTAACTAAAGTTTAACTAATACAATGTCAGTTGCCTTTCTAAATGTCACCGTCTCATTGTGCCATAAATTGGATGGTAATACGTAAGAACATAAAATGTTAAACTGATCTTGAGTTAAGCCTGTGAGTGCATGATAATTGTGGTTATTCATCAGTTTTTCATGATTATCAAAGTGTAGTGGTGGTTACTTTCTTACATAGTTTTTTTTTCTGTTCATCTTCATGTTGTTTTTGTTCTTTCAACTCATTAAATAATTTTATGAAATTATCACGAATAATAGTAAACATATTTAGTTTGTTCATTTTTATCTATTTCAACACTTCTGACTTAATTTATCAGCATTTATATGGCTAGTACAACATCTACTATTCTCTTATATGCAAACATGATGTTCAAGTAAACAGCTGGCACATTATTTGTTATCGATCTCAATGAAACATGTTAGCTTTTACAAAATAGAGCTCAAAGACTGAATTTTTTTATGTGATTTGACTAGACTAAAAACTGATTATAGAAGAGAATCAAATGTAGCAAATGATGTAATTGGCTAACCAGTAACAGCAGAAATAGATTTTGTTTTGACTATGGTGATGGTTCTATTATTGAGTCCGTTTGAACTGTTTCATCTACATTTTGGATATCTACTTCCGTGACTAATTCATTTGTACTTTGCGAGTTGTTGTTAGACGTAGTAATCATTTTCTTGTTTTACAGGGTAATACTAAACTTGACTGATTTATATTATAATTTATCAGTCAGAGTGAAGTTAGTAAACTATATCAATTTATTTTGATTATTTCACAGACTTTTTTGTTGGGCTTTTTGTTAACATAATTGTATAAGGTTGTTTTGCGGACTTCACCTTGACTGACCGTCTGATCAAGAATAACAATTCTATGATATTCAGTTTCAATCTGCTGCCAACAAACTTCTCGAGAAGAACTTCGTAAATAATTCACTTTGTGAAGGTACCATCACCCTAGTATATACATAAATACATGTATATTAAGTACTATCGTATTATTCCGAAAAGAAAGCGTTCATTACCGAACTTAACACATTATCATCTACAACAAATTCCGACTTCATTTTAGTACTTCCTTTATTTGACTACGTTTCACTTTTTTTTTCTTTTCCAAGTCATATTTCAAACGCTTATAATAACTGTATCAATCTATGTGCATATTCATTTATTATCCATTGTTTCAAGATTTCTTTATTATATTATATCAGAACAAAAGATCTCAAAACCTGGTGTTTTTAGTATTTGATGCTACAAATATTAAAAATATGGCTTTGAATCCTTTTTTACATGATTCTGCTCAGCAACATAATTTTCTACATGACTGAGCCCTTTTTAGGTTTTTTAGTCATGTAGATTGGTCGTCTGGAGACGGCGACAGAAAATAGCCTTCTAAAATCAAGCAGTTTCTTCTCAAGGATACTTTCGATGTCTTAGGCTCCAACTCTGAATAATTTCGACTTGTTCTATAGTAAAACTTTTGCCAAACTTAAACGCAACAACACTACTGCATTTCGTCTTTTACAGATCGAGCAAAAGTTTTGGATTAATTCTGTGCTTTCTATATCCGATGTTATTGTATAGTAGAATTTGCAAATTTTTCAACAGAATAGTCTCGTATATTTTAGATAATCATTTCTTGGTTTGTTTAACAAATAGGTGTCCACAACAATAAAAAATTGGCTGACTTCAAATTAAATGAAACATTGCAGCTAGAAGTTTCATTAGAATTTTATGCAATTTAATATACAATAGGGTCAAATAAATTCTTAGTGAAACTGTATTGAAATATTCTTGTCGAAACAAAAACTAATCGAACGGAAATTATGTCCGCAGTTACATGTCAGAAAATATACTGTTATTTCGAAGGAGGTTATACTAATGTACGTATGATCAATCAATTTCTGAAAGGACTACGTTCGATAATACTTTGATTGAAATTATTTCTTGTTCAAAAAAAGATATAAGGAAATATATTTTGTTTTCGGATCATCAATCCACTTTTATGTGTAGTAGCGTAACCGGATTAAGACATAGGTGCCTCAAAAATGGTTGAATTATGCTGAACAAGGAGTCTCAACTCCTTTTAGAAGCATTATCAGAGAGTTTCTGGCATTCTCTGCAGACATGGTCAGTTTAGTGTGACGCTATTACAATTAAGTCTAAATTAAGAATAATCTTTTTTTTCAATAAACTTAAACTCTTTGATCGAAACGATTTCCTTATGACAAAAATGATTCTATGATTGCCGTTTGACTTAATTGTTCTCTGTTAAATTGAAATATTAAAATTTTGCTATTTTCAAAAATAAACGAATCAATCTGAATAATAAAGAATAAGTTCGCTTTTCACTGGTAACAGAAAATAAAAGAAAATATTTATTTTTTTTTAGCATGTCTGACTATAAATCATAGTGTGCGATAAGTTTTGAGCAAAACAAAAAAAAAGTGTTTTATTTAATTAATCATGTATATCATTTTTACTAAAATTTGACTGCATTCTCGCACATTAACTAATCTTGATTATTGATTTTTAGTAGAACAGACGCTTTTCAAGATTTTGATATGAATTTCTACTAGTATCGAATTCGTCATCTTTTTTATCCTGCTTTAAAAATGATGACACCATAGCTTTTTGCTAATCATAGTCGATTCAAAAGATTTCAATCGAACCTTTTTTAGTTTAATATCCAACGACAAAAAAACAAAACAAAGCATATGATCTAGTCTCAAAAAGAAAGAACATTTGTTACAATTGACGACATGGACCAATCAAATTATCCAATGACACTTCATATTCATTTCATATTCTTGTTTGACTAATAAATTCAATTTGAATTTTTCAAAATAAGAAATTTTCATAGAAAAAAAAAATTTTATTATTATAATAATTAAAATATTTAATATATGTCGCTACAATCGATTAGATCAGCCATTACCACTGAATATAACGATTATCATCCGTATCGTAAATTGTTTGTTGTTTGTCTGTTAGTCATAGGAAGCTTTTTATTTTCAATGAAAAAAGAAAATGAACATTTATTTAATTGTGACAGTATTTTCAAAATAAATTAAATGGAGGGAATGGATACAACACATTCGCCTTCATTAACAGGCAATACTTGGTTTGTTTATTGAAGTACATAATTGAAAAATTATTTGAATTCTTTTATATTTCTAGTACAATTCAGCATAATCCAACAGATCGACATAATATAAATGAAATCAGTGGTAGTACAACAATTGATATGCTCAAAGATTGTTGTAATAATAAACTTGTTAAAACATCGGATAAGCATGCAAAATTTTTATTAGAAAACTTAAATTTATTAAGAAAACAAAAAGAATTATGTGATGTCATTTTGATTGTTGGCCAAAATAAAATTCCTGCTCATCGAGCTGTTCTTTCCGGTACAGAGATTGATTAAATTCCAAGTAAAATGCATTTTCTTTTATTTTCTTTAGCATGCAGTCCTTATTTTAAAGCAATGTTTACTGGTGAATTAGCTGAAAGTCGACAAACAGAAATAGTTATTCGTGATATTGATGTATATGCCATGGAATTATTAATTGAATATTGTTATACATCAAGAATTGTTGTTGATGAAAAAAATGTTCAAATGTTGTTACCAGCAGCCTGTATTCTTCAAGTAAGAGAATTGAACATAATCAAAAAAGAAAAAAAAAAAAGATTTTTAGTTTGTGTAAAATATTTATTTTACATTGTGTCTGGAAAAAACTTCATCTTTTTTTGAAAAAGTCATCAACTCCATAACAGAATAGAAGTCCACTCTATCCGAACGAACACATAATAACAATATAAATCATCAGATAGATTACACTTCATTACTTTTCGTTGTATAGTTGTAACTTTTATAATATATTTAGTTCCACTGGTTTTACATGTTTTCTATTAACGACCAATCGAGTTTCTTTCGTGAGCCGAAAGATATACATGCATGGGCATTAATGAAAGACAACTATTCAGAAACTGACGAGTAGATAATGGACATGCCTAAATACCATTCTGTTCGTATTGTCTCTGTTATGAGACTATACACAGTCTAGAAAATGAAAAGATGTGAATTCTTTCAAAGCTATTGAAATATACATACGTAAGTTTCTGAATTGTATATAAGCTTCTAAGGTAACGTTACCTGGCAGCGCCGTCTCGCTAAAGTATCGTAGTGAACGCTGTTTAACGTATCTATTATAAGATCCACGAAGTTTTCATGATAGATGAGCGTGTGACTGAGAAAAGTAGTGTAACGAACGCATAACTCAGGGTACTTGATAACAAGGAATTGGAAAAGTATAGAAGTGAATTTTTAATTCGTCAATAGTTATCAAAGCTCAGACAAGTTGAAACATCCTATTTATCGAATATTGTTCACTTCTGTGTTTTTAAGCGAATCTAGTTATAACGACAATACAAGCCCATCTCCAACAGTTTGACTTGCGAAAACAAGATAGAAGTGTCCAGTGAACTACTACTCTGTGTATGTGGGAAGGAAGGTAGAGATTAATAAAAAATATTGGTCCATAAGATATATTTTCTTGTTTCTTCAATTATTTGGATGTTAGAACTCGCTCGGATATGCATTATTGATCTCAAGCTCGCACTTTTAATCGAGCTTATCGGATGTGGATCTAGAATGAATTCAACAAGTACATCTTATTGTATTCATATAAATAATTAGATGTCCCTAAAACAATATTTTTATTTTGTTTTCTTGTAAATAAAATGGGTAGAGATAAAAATAACTCGATTAGATTTATAAAACGTATCAAATGTAACCTTATATCCAGGCTAACAATGCAATATGCCGTTTTTTTTAAATGATTGACTAATAATAGTTGACAGACCCTGATGTATACGTAAAGTAGATTAAACGGATTCTAATAGTCGATTATACCTTGTTTTGTTTGTTCATTCATGAAAGGAGACAATTGAAAGACGTAAAAAAAGGGAGATTTTTTTCTTTTTAAGTATTGTATAAAATGCATTATGTAAAAAAAAAACTATTTGAATTTAATTTAGATTGAAGAAGTTCAAATAACATGTTGTGAATTTCTTCAAAAACAACTTGATCCAACAAATTGTTTAGGTATTCGAGCATTTGCTGATACACATTCATGTCGAGAACTTTTACGTATTGCTGATCGTTATGCACAACAACATTTTATTGATGTTAAAGAAAGTGAAGAATTTTTATTTTTACCAATAAATCAATTAATTGATATTATATCAAGTGATGAATTAAATATGACAAGTGAAGAAGATGTTTTTAATGCTGTTATGCAATGGGTTTCATGTGATGTTCAACAAAGAAAACAATATTTACCTACAGTAAGAAGTTTTTTTTTGTCTTTTTAATTTTAATTAAATAAAAAAATTATTTAGATATTAGAAAATGTTCGATTTCCATTAATGAGTGCTCGATTTCTTGTTAATACGGTTAGTTCAGATCCATTAATTAGAGCCGATCAAAAATGTCGAGATTTAGTTGATGAAGCTAAAGATTATTTATTATTACCACAAGAACGATTAAATATGCAAGGACCAAGAACAAGACGACGAAAACCAATTAAATCATCTGAAGTTCTTTTTGCTGGTTTGTTATAATTTTTCTTTAACAAAATATTTGTCTTATTTTATGTCTACAAAAATAGTTGGTGGTTGGTGTTCGGGTGATGCAATAGCCAGTGTTGAAATGTTTGATCCAACAACGAATGAATGGCGAGCTGTATCACCCATGTCAAAACGAAGATGTGGAGTTGGAGTTTCTGTACTTAATAATCTTTTATATGCCGTTGGTGGTCATGATGGTGTTAGTTATTTGAACAGTGTTGAACGGTAAATGAAAAAAATGAAAATATTTATTGATTAGATTATTTTCTTTAGATTTGATCCTCAAACAAATCAATGGAGTAATGATGTAGCACCAACAAGTTCATGTCGAACAAGTGTTGGTGTTGCAGTACTTGATGGATGTCTTTTTGCTGTTGGTGGACAAGATGGAATTTCATGTTTAAATCTTGTGGAAAAGTAAATCTTTTTATTTTGAATAAAATATCTTTACTCTTGTTTTTTTTTTATTATTTATATTAAGATATGATCCATCTACTCAACGATGGAGTCGTATAACGTCGATGGGTACTAAACGATTAGGTGTAGCTGTTGCTGTACTTGATGGATATCTTTATGCTATTGGAGGATCAGATGGACAATCTCCGCTTAATACAGGTAAACTATACTGTTTTGTCTAATTATGTAGTTGAACAAAATAATCTAAGACGAATAGTTATCTAATTTGACAAACATAATTAATCATAATAAGAAAGAAATGAAGGCATACAATAATAAATAGAAAGCTACTTTTCTAGAAATATTTTAATCGAAAAATTAATTGAAAAACTCATTCGATAAGTCTTCATTTTATTACATACAATTGATAGTAAATGACTAAGTTGTGGTTCTTGCAAGTTTTTATATAGTAGATGAAAAGTGAAACAAAAAAAAAGAGAAATCTACTTAAGATCATATACATCTTACCGATAATATTGATCATCGGTCAAGTACATTCAAATTGCATTAAATTTTCAGGATATGTTGATACTCTAGTGGAGATACTATGACAAAATGTTCAGTCCTGTAACAAGACGTTTCCGGGTGATATCCAAAAAAATAAGTGTCGAAAATAGCTCATTGGACAAGCCAAACTTTGCTGTGAATTTTCATTCTATATACTAAATTTATTTTATTCGAAAAAATATGTCAGCAAAGTCTTAAAAAATGGCGTTCTAATTGTAAAAGTGTTCTTTTATATTTGGTGATATTTTTGTTTTGAAAACAACATTTTTTTTTAAATAGGTGATGACAGAAATCATCAAAACTTTTTAGAAAAAATGAGATGCCAAATAAGAAATGATATCGTTTATAAAAGATCAGACATGGAGCTATCTTCTCATGCATTTATCTTAATTTTGAGGGCAATGGATAAGTTTAAGTTATTGCAAGTCAAATTTTGCCATTACTCAATTGTTGTTGAATAGAATATTGATATATCGATTGTTTTTTTAGTTGAACGTTATGATCCAAAAACAAATAAATGGTCACCAGTAGCATCTATGACAACGCGTCGAAAACATCTTGGTTGTGCTGTTTATAATGGATTTATCTGTATGTATTGTTTTTCTTAATTTAGTTTGGTTTTATTTAATAAATATAATTGAATAGATGCAGTTGGCGGTCGAGATGATGCGACAGAGCTATCAACAGCTGAAAGATATAATCCAAAAGCTAATCAATGGTCACCCGTTGTTGCAATGAATTCAAGGCGAAGTGGAGTACGGATTCAATTTAATTATATTCAATTATACAAATAATTTTTTTCTAAATAGGTTGGTTTAGCTGTTGTTAATAATAATTTAATGGCTATCGGTGGATTTGACGTAAGTTATTCATTTTATATAATACCTACAAATTGCGAGCAATGCTGGACTTTTCTGCATGGACTACGAAAATATAATACTGATCTAGTGATCGATTTTGTTCTCCTCTTTCCCACGGCTGCGATATCGTTGCATTAAAAATTACATGGTTACTACTTCTCTAAGTTTCGACAAAAGAAAACTTCAACAAAAAAAACCAATAGTAAACAGCTAGGCTAGCGCAACACAGCAAAGTATTCATCAAAGCCAAACTCAAGTTCACGATATAATATCAATAGATTCAAGTTAATGTTTCGATTCAGTAGTTAATTTCGGATACGGTTCAATTAGTTAGAACAATGTCGAATATCTACGAAAGAACTAACTGAACTATCATACATCGTTTGAACGCGTATTGAGTCCACAGGGAAGTCATAACAAGGCTAGAAAAATTCTAAAACGATTCGTATTGATGGGTCTCTCAAGCTGAGTTAAAATCGTTTTACTGATATTCACACAGTCATTAGATCTATTTATGGATTAAATTTTCGGTCAGAATTCCATTATTTGATTTTTTCGTAAATACGTAAAACTGAGTCGAAAATTCAATAAAATGATCATAACTCAATTCCAAATATCTATTGGATACAAACTCTTTCAGAATTATTTTAGTCTTACTCAGACCTCTTTCTTGTGAGTTCTACATGAGATTTAATCGTTATTTTAATTCAAAACGAGAATTTAGACAGACAAGACATGTTTTTTTTTCCATGAACATGCTACTGAAGTGATTAATTGCTGTTAGACGAAACTTTCCCATAGCAAATAAATAAATCTATACGAGTCTTTCATTCGAATTTTTGTTCATTGAGTGTAACATCAGTAAAATTATTTTATTTAAAATATTTGTCTAGGGTGCATCATATTTAAAAAGTGTTGAATTATACGATAGTGAATCAAATAGTTGGAAATTACATGGTGGAATGAATTATCGTCGATTAGGTGGTGGTGTTGGTGTTATTAAAGTTCAACAATATGATTCAATACTTTATGGAACGAATTCCGTTTCTGGCTCATCATCAACATCTCCAGATGATAGTAAACATCGTTCTCTCTCGAAATTAGTTGATCTTTGAATGTCTCTGATTTTTTTTCTTTTTTTTTTTTTGACATGTATATTTATTCTTCTTTATTCTCGGTGTAAAATAGTTTCTTTCATCGAGTTCTATCTTGTCTATGTATAATCTCTTTCTCTATTTAATGATGGTTATTAATGAAAACAACTTTAAAAAAAAACAAACAATACTATCATTTTAGATGATTTATATGAAACAATAATTTGAGAATGGATCAAAATTTTTGAAAAAAAAAAAATCTTGTTTTGTTATATCAATTCTTAACGAAAGTAAGTTAAGTTTTTATTTAAAAAAAATAAATAGATCATATTAAAATAACTAAAATAATTTTTTTATTAGAATGATAAATAGTCAACCAATTTCAAATGATGATCAACGATCATTATCTGAAACAAATAATGATACATCAAATCATAACATAGATAATCAAAAGGAAGAATATATATCTAATGATAATGATAATTCAAACGAAACAATGAAAATAATTCGTGATGGAAAAGTTCCAAAACCAGATGATGAAAGAAAATTATTTGTTGGACAATTATCATCGGATATAACAAAAGAAGATCTACAAAAATATTTTTCCAAATTTGGTTCAATTGAAGATGTTACAATAAAATATGATGTACCCGGTGGAAGAGCACGTGGTTTTGCTTTTATTTTATTTGATGATAAAGAATCAATACAAAAAGTTCTTAATGTTCAATCACATACAATTAATCAATCGCAAATTGATCCAAAGCCAGCACATCGACGACCACGTTAGATTTTTAATTTATTTTCTATTTAAAAAAAAACTATTTATTAAATTTTGTTTTTTTAAGCTGTTACAAATCCGGTGAAAAAAATTTTTATTGGACAATTACCAACTGATTTTGTTGAACAAGATTTATCAGATTATTTTTCACAATTTGGAATTATTGATACAATTGAACTTGTAAATTAAAGAAGAAAACAAAATTCTTTCTTTTTCTTTGTTTTTGCTTATTTTTCTCTTTTAGCCAATGGATCGTGAAAAAAGTGTTCGTCGTCCATTCGGTTTTGTTTCATTTTCATCTGAAAAAACTGCTGAAGAAGTTTTACGTCAACAACGTCATTCAATAAATGGTGCATCAATTGAAGTTCGACCAGCTAAACCACGTCCACATGAACAACAACAATTACAAATGCAACAACAATATCAATATGGAGAATATATTTTACCTCATCATCCTCATCATAATCCATTAATTTCATCAATATCAGCTCCAACAATGACTCATCAACCAATTATGAATGTTCATGCTAATCAAAGTTCTTATTATACACATCCAACAAACAATAATAATTATGCTGGACAAGTAAATACATTTATTTTATAGTATAGAAATAAAATTTTGTTTATTTAGGTTGATCAATGGAGTCAAGGAGCTAATAATGGAGTAGCTTATTGGAGTACAGCTAATAGTGATATTAGAAATAATAATAATAGTTCAGTATCACAATGGTCGACGGGTAATATACTTTAGTTATTTTAGTGTTCGAGTAAATCGTTTAAGTTAGAATTTTCGATGAAATGTCTTGAACTTAATCAAAATCATAGATACATATATTGATTTTGATGAAATTTTGGCTTTTTTTTTCAACGAATTAACTCTATTCAATATTCTGAATTTTCAATGACAGATGAATTTCGAAATTTTTACTTGAAACTTTCGTCTCAATCAGACTAAGATAATTTTGAACAAACTTTTATGTCACAATTTGAAAGTTTTATTGTATCGAAAAGGTTCAATGTTATATTCAACTAATTCATACTAAAAACTTGATTGAGCAAAATCTGAGATCATATCTATAATATATATTTTATTTATATTGGGTACTGTAATATGGAAGATCTTTTACATAAAGTCATCAATGAAAATAAAAATTTTATTAGAACAATATATATGATGATCTTTCTATCTTGTTCCTAATATCTATATTATTTTATTAGAGACTACTTTTGGAATGAAAATGGATTGTTGATAAAGAAAAAATTTATTTATATTTATTGAAAGAAAATAATTTTATATGTTACTTAGGACGTAATGGTGGTTTATCATCAGTTAATAACAATAATAGTGTATATGGTACATTAGGCAATTCAGTTTCATCTTCATCTTCAGTTTATCAACCAAATCAAGGTCAAACAATTTATAATCCAAATGGTATAAATCAACAAGGTCAATATCCTCATTCAAACTATTCGAATCATCTTCAATCATCTTATGGTATATCATCATCACAATCAACTGGAAATATTTATGGAAGTGGATATCCATCATCATCATCATTAATACAAGCTAATGATATACAACATTCAACTTCATCATGGAATCAATATCCTCCTACTAATCTTGGTAATGGTGGCAATCAAACAAATTATGATCCAAATATGTATTATGCTCCTTATTATGCTAATTTATTCGCTCAACAGTACTATTCACAACAACCAGCAGTAAGTCAAACACAAGTACAAATACCTATGGAACAAACAATTTCACCAAATGGATTTCCAACACCATCTAATGGTGGTTTAGACAAAAATTATCAACAACTTTCTCGATAAAAATAAAAGAAAAAATATATTCATGTTTCTTCATTATATTTATGTACTTTATTTCTATCTTTAATTAACGTTCGCTTTACTCTGTCTTTTCGTGTCTTTTTTCGTCTATGCTAAGCTAACATAAAAAAACAACAACAAAGAAAATATTTCGTTTTATTTTAGTTATTCAATTATCATATATATATGGGATAAAACTAATAATAGCAATAATTAACAAATCAATTACAATTTACATTTTTATTCTTTATTATTTAATTTATTTTCAAAATGATGTGACAAGACTAAATTGAAATATTTCTTGAAATGAAATTTAAAATCGTTAGAATAATTCAAAACAATCATGTTTGAGATGCCAGATCTTCCTAATCGCCTGAAAACATCTAGGGCTTTGGCATTTTTTTTCGAATTGTGATTTTTTTTTCTTTAGATTTCAGTATTTATTAATTTGTATGAAACTTTTAATTTAATCTTTTACTAGCGATTAATACCGTATCGCTATTCTACTATAATCATCGTCATGAAATATAGAGGTTCAAGACTATCTATAATACTTATTCGCTTGAATCTAAAGTCTTTCCGAACTGAATGAAGCATCGTAGACTGTGAAGAAAAATTATTCAAATAAATGATTTTCTTTGCAATGTGAATTGAATTTTAAGTTTAAGAAGGTACTTCTTCGTGTGATAATTTTTATGTGTTAAACTGAATTAGATTCAGCTATGATGGATAACTTTGGAAGTTCAAATATGACTATAAGTAAGATTGAACAAGAGAAAAAAAAACTATCAACAACAATTTTTACATACAATATTGATAAAATTAAACATATAATAATAAAAAAGACGATATATTTATACATATTTCAACATCGAATAACTAGTTTTCGAGTTTTTTTTTTCAAAATGATGAAAACATAGTTCTGAATTTTACAATCAAAAATTTTGATTTATAACTGTTCGATCTTGCTCATGGTATGTTAAGTTATAATACATGATGATCTTACTATCAGAGTTAATACTTTGTAATATGATTATCAAATGCATTATCACGATAGAATCAGATATTGATTCTTATATTTATATGTATATGTATTCTTAGTATTTGTAATATATTTAAATCTTTATGAGTAAATCACTTCAGTTTTGTATTGATGGCAATAGTTTATTGATAAGATCATTATGCAAAATGAAAATGTGTTATTTTGTTTTATGAATACTCACAGATATTACCTTGAAATTGCGCACACATATCAAAAAGTCAGAAAAATATTCAGAATGTAAATGTGTAGACAGAACTCAACCGTCTACACGCCACATCCTAACTATAATGCTAAACATCGTGTTTCGCCACAAACATAGAAAATATTCATCAACAAAAAGAAATCGTATATGACATATCTTTCTTGCTTTTATATCATCAGATTTTTTCTATGTTATTTTATTGATTATCAAAGACATAAGAGATTAATCTGATAAAATCGAAAATTAAAGTGTAGCTCTATATCATAAAAGCTTTAAGTAGCTCGAAATGACTTCAAGTCAAGCAGCACCTTATTTCTTTCTTGCACTGATATTATGAGAATATGCAATACATATATTGATTTGATGCATCCATATCTTAATGAATCATCGATAACACTAAATATGTATTTCTCACCTAAAAATGAGTATTTGAATATATAATAAAATATTGTTAAAATTATTATTCAACAAAATGATAATTTAGCTAATTAATGTCTATATATGGTCTTCAATTCTTATAATGATAATTTCGATTATTTCTTTGGTTCATTGGATTTGAGAAAACTGTGTTTTTTTATTTTATTGTTACTAGGATAATAATTATATGAATATACAATAAAGTAAACATGTATAAGATAAATTAGAAATCATAAAGATTCAAAAACGAAAATTCGAACATAAAGTAAGAATTCTAATTTGCATAGAAATGAAGACACAACTAAACAGTGACATTTGACATTAATTCATTTGAATTCGACAAGTTTTAGAGAATAAATTAATCAACTATAATTTACTCAGTTCAATGGTAATAATGGTATTTATGTCAAACTTCAAATTATGATTTACCTATTTTAAATTCAGAAGCTTTTGTACACAAATTTTATCCTTTATTGTGAAATCCAAAAACAAAACGGTAAATCGATGGAGATGCAGCTGTTTCCTGGTCAACTCTCTTTCTTTTTGATAGACTGCAATGCAATAATTACTTGTAGAGTGGAGAATTTATAATGTAACTAATCATGAATGCCAAAGATCATTGCTTGTTGATTAAGATTTACCTAGAAGTATAAAACATAGCATTTCACCAATAAGATTAAATATAATAACGGAACGGAAACATTGATGATATAAGAAAAAACTGATTACAATGTGCTTCAAGTATTGTTAAC